CCGCGTCCAGTTAGCTGTCCGACCACTTTTCTGAACTTTTTAGTGACAATTTTTGGCATGTCCTATTACATTTAATTTAAATTTTAAGCCGAAGCACCCTCATATAAAGTCGACTCTAGACAGAGTGACTCATTTTGACTCGCGTGGAATCTGTACTAAGGCGCCTCACTGTCCCCAGCACCCAAATCGTCCAGGTCTAGACGTGCGGTTGCCAGATTTTCTTGGGGACGCGAACCACACCTACTGACCTCAATACCATCATGACACATTGCTGATGCAGTTAAAACCAGACCGACTGCGCGACAGACCGCTACTGCTCAACTTTCTACACGCGTCTACCCATCTTGATGCGCGAATGGTTACAGGCCTACTAGTGTCTGCAGTGGCAGTTGTAAAATAACCCGATTCTGCAGACCGAGTGACAGATGGCACGTGCAATTCTGTTATATACTCAACAACTGGCCTAATTTTACTGGTTGGCCATCCTTTCTCATGAATTTTTATTAACAAAGACAAGGACTCGGGGCTGGCTCCCGTACGGACGACTATCGTCAGTAGCATGTGTGCTCGAACAGTAGCACTCGTGAAAGAGGTTCACATGCTCCCTTTCTCGCCATCAAACCATGGCTGTCTGAGACATAGGCCACTTACATGATTCTCTCCCTGTCCGATAAATCCAGGCCATGTTGCAGACGGTTAAAACATAGGCGTTAAGCGTTTAAAAACGAAGTAATATCAAAAATCACATCGCGAGTTCTTTCATGATGATGGTCAGGTATCCGATCTCCTGTGACCATTTTATAGGTAGAACCGAAATGTGTAGTTATTCAAGCAGACTAAAGCATGTAGAAAAGGCTGTTGAATACTAGCTTGGAGCTGGAACGAGTACCGACAAGACGACTTATTAGCTGTCCTCAGTTAGCCATGCTCAACCCCAGCCTTAATTAGTCCAAAGCTCGAGCCTAGGTTCTCTGATCGTTGGCGATAGGCCCAACGCAGTGCCATCGGGTCACGAGCTCATTGCCTCATCGATTACATATGGGAATAGTCCGCATACCGACGAAGGCGTTCAGGTTACGGGTCATGCCCGTCCAGCTGTCCCTCGGGACCACACATGGAGACCTGGAAGTCACTCGAGAAAAATTGGCGACAGAGCCAATTGAGAGAGGAATGCTCATTTCTGAATAATTTGCTATTGTTGTCAGGCAACCATACTTCACTTCAACACTGGAATGGACCGGGGTCAAAACCCGGCCTCTTTGATGAACCGCTCCCCTTGTCCTATTGGCTGCGAGGAGGTGCATTCACGGGGTTGCCGTTCACCCATCTTTCCTGATTGCAGGAACGGAACATTGAAGGTCGCCATTCCAGTGTCATATGTCTTTTCAGTGACACTTATCGAGTTGTGTTTGTTTGATGCAATTTTACCATCTGCGCGAACACTGTTCGTGTCCTCTTCCAGCTGCCATGCTGTATTCCGCAAGGCCTTTCGAATATGCTGAAACGTTGCCCAGGTAGTGACCCAGCGAGTGCCGCAGTATGCGTACGTTTACTTGAAGAAACCCCCTTAAGGATTGTGTGAAGCTGCTAAGCCATGATTCAGCAAACCATTGCCTTCGCAGCCTTGTGTGGGCTGGCAGTTCTCTGACACTTGGTTCCCTGCTGGTAGATGTGCTTGCACTCCCACTGGGTATACAGGCCGTGTGCATGGTAGTCCAGCCATATCCCTTTTCTCGACCCGTTATTTTGTTGTTGCTGATTACAATTCCGGTCAAGTGCGTTTGTTGTGGACCAGCAGGTACTTTGGAACGCCTAGGGGCATGTCCGACCACGCCAGCCTCCTACGTCCTCCTTTTCCTCCAATATTCTTGACTATGTCTTGCACCGTGTCTAGGTGGGAGAAGGAGAGAGTGCGGTAGATGCTGCGCAAGTCTACTGCCACTTCAAAATAACCTATGCATAAGTCACCGTGCCTGCTCTCACCTTTCTGTAGAGCACATGGTGAACATCGTCTACATCGACGGTCAAGCTGTCATTTGAAGAAACATTTGCGGGCTAAACCGGCCCTCAATGCCTTACGCGGTTGTTAAGTACTAGAGGAAGTCTGTTTTTCAAGGAAGTTACAGGTGGGTAATTACAGCAGATTAAATTTTTTGGCATATTATGTGTCTAACTTAAGGTTTCCTCCTGATAAACCTCGTGATTTGGCACAGCATATGCAAGAACATTTCGTCTGAAGGGCAGTGGAAGAAAAGAGCCCACGATGTCAACCACAACATTTAGACCAGTATGCAGGTGCCGGCGGGTTAGAGTCAAAGATGCTGGCCGCCAGGGAAGGGGGCTGACAAATGGCCTCAGGCAGGAAGATTTACAACCCTCGGGCCATCTACATCGTTCGGAAAAGCCTGGTTAAAAATATGCGGGTTAGTAGTCCAAATAAGGCTCAGAGGTTGGTTGTACGTTGGGCCGGTGTAAAATAACTCTAACCGGCAGTCCATAAGGTTATATCACTAAGTTTTTCCAGTTCACAGCGTTCGGTAAATCGTTCTCTGCACGGCTTATCAACGAGCCTTTCCGCCTTGACATGATAAATGCAGCTGGTTCCAGTTGAAACAAGAAAAACAGGTCAAAGCCTCGAATACCTTTATGATCTCCTAATGACCGAATGGGTTCTTGAGTAGATGGGCCAACGGCAAGAAGTTGCGTCTTATTTGTTAGGTTTAAATAGAATCGGAATGAGCATTTGCGTGACACTTTAAATGCCAAAAGTTCGGTGTAACATAAATAGTAGTGTCTCCACGCCAGTCATAGTACAACCCTGGACATTGCTTCACCAATCAGTCACGGCGTACGCTACGATTAAAAATTACCGGCTTCTACTCATGCTATTTCTCGTTCCGTCAGATGATCATTCGTAGTGCACAAAAACTACGTTGCTCGGAAAGACGGCGAAATGTAAAATTTCAGCAGTAACACGGAGTTCGGCGTCCTTCTGACAGACGGAAGTCGTATTTCACTAAACACATGCCCAGTACTAACGCAAGAGAGGCCATTACATGCACAGTTGATTAGCGTCCATCACGTTGGGGACAGTTTTGTTTACGATGAGGTCCAACTATTGTGATCGCTGTACCTTTTTGGCACAACCAAGTTGCAGCATGGGGTCATCTTAAAACGGACAGGGGGGATGAGACGGCGGGGACATTGGTGAGAGCGAGGTCAGGATGCAGGCAAAGGTGGTAAGAGGGGGAGTGGGAGAGCGATTGAGGAGGAGGGGGAGGAGGAGGAAGCCTAAGGAATTCATGAGAATAGCAAAGACTTTGATCTGCACTTAATCTTACTGATACAAATGTCATCCTTCATGTAAATGCTGCAATAACAGTTTGAGTAATACCGTAAGACTCTCGCGCCATGATATTCCATGGTCTGCCCCTGTGTTGAGCAACAGCGCTTTGCGCTGTTCTATTCTGCTCAGGCATTTGGTTGCCTGATTTGATTTCTCCTGTTATCGACTTAAAGTTCCAATAACTTACAACTGATCAGGAGGAAGGTATGTCGCCTTGAACCTGCCTACCCTGCTAGCATACTGGCTAAGTAGTGAGCACTTCTCAGTAGCTTCCGATTGAATTCGTAATTTCAATTCTATTTCCTTGAACAATGCCAGAGAAAGAAGATCTCCTTAAATTTTTGTGCCAAAGAGTCCTTAGTATTTTTTGTTGAAAATTTCCCCAAATTCTACATGTATTACTTTAATAAATACGCCTCGCCTTGTTGCCGAGACTTAGAATGGAACAAACTACAGTTTCTATGGACTGCACTTTCCTCATCAAGGTTGTAAAATGTTTAAAGTGATCTGAGCCATTTCGCACTTTCGGTACCAGACTGAGAAGTGGTCGCATCAATATTTACAATTACGTGTACACATTTCTTAAGGCACGGAAAACTGTCTAATCAAACCATTTTATCATTTCATCATCGAAAAATTACTGGGATGTTCAAGTTAAGCTGGGGTTGTAATGTAAGTGGACGAAGATGCATATTGTTCAGTAACATATACGATGAATACTGGCCCTCGAGTACTCGACAAAGTTAAGCCAATGCTAATTAACGTATTAGTTTAACTTACAAATATGCTTATCTACAATGCTAACCTATTCTATCTACGAAAGCGGAAAAAAGAACTCAATAATTGTGTACATACAGACATCTAAAAACTGTGGAAAAAGCACGCATAACTTATGCTGTGGTTGTTATTGGGTGTGTTTTACAGCAATGACGGCAAAAACTCCGGGTCAATTTTTTTATGTAATTCTGCACTGCAGTTTTAACTGGCATCAAACCGAGCAAATTCCAGTAGAAGGTTTCTTCAGACGCCACCGACTTGGCATGCGCATCCTGGGGGCGGGAGGGGGGTGTGGCGGCCAACCACCAGCGAATTGGATGAACACAAAACAGCAACCAAACGGTTGCAGAGCCATCTCACTGTGCTTATGAAACACAGAACACGTCCTCACAGAGACGGATGTCGCAGTCTGAGAGCGCCTAGGGCCTTTCCTTTACATAATCTGATACTCAGGCAGCACACCTAAGAGGGACACGTGAACTCCACAGAAACCCCAAGACTTTATTAGAGGACGCCCGACTGATGCGCGTTTCTCGGAAAAGAATTGTGGATCCAAACAGATCTAGGTCGTAAACCGTCCGCCCCAGAGGAGCATCGTCAAGGTCAAGGGCCAATGCTGTAGGTCACATTACCAGTCCATAACAAGACCTCGTCGTAGAGGCAGAGGCTTAGTTTGTGTGGACGCGGCAGTTTCCTATCCCGCGAATGACCTTTTGCCACACCCCTAGCCAGCAACCAATCGTTGCCTTCTCGTCTGCTATTCGCTGAATAGCCTCCTGTTAATGATAGGACAACGGACGCCCCGGTGTTCTATATATCGGCTGAGTAGTGTACGCCGTCTTGTTCTATTACCCTGTCCCATCACCGCTGCTGGAATATGGTGAGTTATAATTGTTTAGTCGGTTTTTGCTGTTGTTCAAATTAGCCAATTGGACATCAGGACGTAGTAAATACTTGCCGTATTGGTACCACTGTTTGTGTGTGTAGAAGGGACTCATGCAGATGAATACATCTTGCTCACTGATTGCTTTAGGGGTTTTTCTTTGGTCCCGACCTTGGGGACCGTTTCAGTGATAGGGGATGTAACGTATGATATAAACGCACATTCAAGACGTCATCCCTCCCCTATGTTATTAGTTGCTAAGTAAACTGACACCCGATAAAATATCGATGCTTTTGTGAAGTGCATGGGAGTTTGAGTTTTTCGGATGTCATCTTGTTTTAAAATTAACAAGCAGCCATTTGAGAATTCAACGCTTCGAGTTAGAGTCGAAATTTAAAGGCGCTTATGAATCGGCCTCGATTTGACGGCACGAAATTTCGAGTTCGATCGGAGGTAGTCCGTGGAGCAATTATGGCGTCTGGCTCCTGTGTTGGAACGCCGAATTTTTGATCGAAGAGCTTGCATATTACTACTGTTAATCCAGCCATTGTTGGTAGACATCCACTCTATCTGGCAAAGTTGATAATGAAAAGTAACCGCTATCATTTTATTCAGGCTACTTAAATAAACTAGCCTTCTGGGTGCGTCTAAAATGCAGCATATGGTAATTAATGATCTATTTTTACCTAACTGAACTAAAACATACCGGTACTTCTGGCTATAACTGCTGAATACTCAATAATGTATACTGCCCGCTTCCTAACCATACGACAAAACTCCCGGCTTTAGAGCATGCCCTTAGACATTTTTCAGTTTCAGTTTATTTGAGGCGTTAAACCTTTGAACTCCCTATTTGTTACAAGGAAGCGAATTATATCAAAAATTTGAAAATGGAAACATTAAACCGCAACAAAAGTTTTTTTCGGATTGGCAGAATTTTCGAAACCAGACAGATAAACGAATGGTTCCAAGTGTTAAAGACATTAACGTTACTAAATGTGCTGTACAGTAGTCTGACTATCGATAATTGGTGCTATCTCAGTTTCTGAGCGAGTCCTGATAATCTTGTAGTCAATGTGGCCGGCGTGTAAGCGATTCTGCTGCACGTTAACGCTTCACTCGCTTTTCTGATTCTAACTCGTTGAACCACCTCAGATGTGTAAGTGTACCCGGTGGACTTTAGGCTGGTGGAGTAATCGAGCCGCTGCCGGTGATTAGAACTGACGCACTGAAGAGGGCCGTCACTTAACTGACGAGACGCTGCTAGGTCTTAGGTTCGGACTGAGCGCTGAATTTTACGGCTCCAAAGCCCATGCAGCCAGTTGGAGAGTTCACTTTGCCGTTCTTCTGAATTGCGGCTAACTCTAGTTAATAGAGATCTTGTTTATATCTCGCGACAGTCATCGTTAAAACAGTTGTCCTAAGCAAATATTTCAAGGCTGGACGTCGCTGAATTCGCCATCAGACTTCTTAAAGTATTGAAGAAACGTCTGATAGCAAATTATGCACTTTCAGTGGGCCCGATACATAGATTTTCAATGGCCTGTACTCCGTAACTGTCAAAACCAGGTTTTTGTTTGGAGAACTGTCCTCCTTGAATTGAAAGATCTACTCTGCCTCGACCATGCCTCGGAATATTTGTAATTTGACTTCCACGACTTGTAATGCTTGCCTTGGTTGATTTGTTAAGATTCTCAGGAGTTAACCAGGTAATTTTTCCTACTCTTGCCCCTAAGCATGGTCGCATTCCATTACTCTTGACACTGAGATCTCAGAAGTAGACCAATGAAACTAGCACAGTAGATGAGTTACTTCTGGTTCCTCAATGTACGCATCGGTCAGCCGTGCTATGACTGAGCCCATACCGGCACGTATACACAAACGCCACGCACTTGCGAAATAGGTAATGTCATACCAGCAAAGCTTGGCTGATGGGGGCGGCATTGGTGGCACCCCCCTTTTACCATGCAGCTGACCCAATCGGCCTGACCTCACCTGGATGCGGTGTGCCAGTTTGTATTCGGTTGAGAGTGCTAGCCCGGAGGTGTGTGTTTGATCGAAAACGACATACATAAGCCTCCAACAGCCGCTGTCCAAGCCTCCACCGTTACTGTCTAATCAGTTCTAGTGTTGTCCCTCTGTGTGTCAACTCTTCGCGGCCCCTGCCACCGCGACACCAAGCAGACCTACAGTGGGTGGGCTAATTCATGAAATGTCAATCGAAATTCCGAAATGCGTTTTCGTTTCGAAAAGATTAATTAAATAGAGTTGTAAAACTAGTCAGCTTGTAACATTATTTTATAATGATTCAGTTACCTCAGGATGCCGGATTTCGAATGTATTTCTTTTCGGTTGCATGCAACAATTACACCCTTTAAAAAACGGCTTCTTAAGTTGCCTGATTTCTCATTGATTTTCGATGTCGTTAAAAATTTAACTATATTTTAAGAAATGCATGCATTAAAATATCCATTCTTTTGCTCATTCGGTAGAAAATTACGTCTTCTTCCAACCTTATACTCGAAGGAAGAGTATGCATCGGGTTTCAAAAACTTTTCCGATTCCCGAATGATTTTGAACCCGACCCGCCGGTACACTTTCGTTCAGGGTTTCCAAACTACAGGCCGTATCATACATTTCTTTACGGTATTAAGAGGAGACTGTATGGGGTTCATAAAATTTAGCAGTGGATTCGTGCCATATTGTTAACTTTACAAACCACATTGGTGAATGCGGAGACATGACGTTTTATGAACGGCCATTTGACGGTATTCAAAAATCTCACAATTAGAAGCTTTTTTAATACCGAGTTATACCATTCCTTCGAGTATAAACTTGGAATAAGACGTAATTTTCTACCGAATGAGCAAAAGAATGGATATTTTATGCATGCATTTCTTAAAATATAATTGAATTTTTAAGGACATCTAAAATTAATGAGAGAAATTCATGCAACCTAAGCAGTCGTTTTTTGAATAGTGTTGCTGTTGCAAGCAGCCGAAAAGAAATACATTCGAAATCCGGCATCCTGAGGTAACTGAATCATTATAGAATTATGTTGCAGGCTGACTAGTTTTACAACCCTACTTAATTAATTTTTTCGAAACGAAAACGCATTTCGGAATTTCAGTTGACATTTCGTGAGTTAGCCCACCTACTGTAGGTGAACTCAATCTATTGGACATTAATCATTCTGTACTTATCGTCTTTTTTATAGCCTAGTGGCATGAAAAGTTGTCAGAGTTTTGTCCCCGCCACGTGGAGATGCCCATCTGTCTCAGAAGCCGCCCTTAGATAGTTGCATAGATAGCAACCAAAACAGAGACATCACCATTTCACTTTACTTTTCTGCCTTTTAATGGCATAACTCACATTGCTGAAGTTAATCATGGATCCCGGAGGTTTTATTTGATCCTAAAGACCTTTATTAATCTGGCTGTTCCACCATTTGGGTCTAATGTCCTTTGTTTGTTTCCCTTACAGCGGAGTTTCAATTCTCCTCTTCTTTTTGCCGTCTTCATCACATGCTTTGGATCATCCTTTCTCATAGGATACAATTTGGCCATTGTCAACAACATTGAATATGTATGTTTCCATCAGACACTTCCATTCGAATGGTATTTTTAATTTTTGTCTTTGTCTCAGCCTCAGCGCTGCTGAGGAAGTGTTTCCTTTTATTTACGCGCTGCATGCACTGCTTACTAAAACGCCGCCACTGACACACCTGCTTAGAATGCTCAGTGATGGAGTAAGATATATGACTTCTGCAAATGACATTTATAGACACGTTATCAGTGCCTAAAGCATCACACATCGCTGTTACCTGGTGAGCTAGTGGTGTGCAATTTATTTGGTATGCTTTTAGGTCTCCTTTCACGGTACCCAAAAATTCGTCCAAAAAATTGAAAGTAGGTAAATCACTACTTGCATGCAGCGAAAAACGCTGCTCGCCTCTTCTTGGGCAAATTCAAAAAATACTCATTAGCAGTTCGGAGGACTGAAGGGTGGAGATTTCGCATGATGAAGAAAATTTGGCCTAAACGAAAGTTTATGGGTAAGGGGATGCCGCTTAAAGGGTCACGCTCATTAACCCCAACCCGAGGATGAGTACAGTTTTTCACTCGGCCTTATTTATTAACTGAATTTACTTGTCAATGGGTGTCATCATCTGTATCATCACCTCGCCCTCAGTCCTTCTACCTCCCCATGAGAACTGGTTTGGACAAAAGGTGGGCCAGACATTGTCGTTTTTGGGCAGGACCCATCTCCTTTCGACGCAGTCCCGCTCAAACCATTGCCATCCAGTTGTCAGAAAAACTCATTTAAGCCATAATTCTTCCACCGGCAGCTGCGTGAGACGGGCTGGTGGCGGAGTGGTTTCCTGCAGCCGGATTCGGAGGTGGACCCCTCCATCTACCTCTCTGGTACACTTTAGTCGTCGAGGATCTACGGAACGGCGAGTGGGGCTTCACAGGACGGCGAGCAACAGTGAGCATGACATGCTTCCGCCACGGTTTGTGTCCGTTTCGTAACTGAATGATTTGCAAGTTGGCACCCAGCCTCATTTAGGTGACATTTCCGCTGTATGATCTGTGACTGCCTACTCGTCAGAGTCCGCTTATTTCGCAACTGCCCATGGCTGACGGCCACTCTAACACCCACCACTTGTGGAAGTGCCCGGTAGACCGCAACAAGCCTCTTTGGTTGGCTCCGTCCTCCTCAGAGTTCCTGTCGTCTTCCTTAGGCTCTTAAAACAGTCAACCGAATGCGGAGCATTCCTGTTGGTCCTTCACAGACAGCAAAGCCTCGCTAGCACTGAAATCGAGGCAAATAAAGGCTGCTCATCACAATCATCGGTTAAACGAACGTTTGATTCAAACCAAGGGGTCTGGGCATAAGCTCTTCTTGAGAATCATCGTTCATCGTTCCGTGTTCATTCTAGCCTAAGCACTGGTTCTGCAAAAATTTCGAATACCTACAGTCGCATGTCTTCCTCCTTTCCGCACTCCGACTACAGAATTGCTGAAAATGCAACATCCGGCAGTTAAGGACATCGCCAAAGACATGTCTGTATTACCTTTTGAAAGTTTCTTCGTTTTATTTGGTCTCAGGTCTCGGTCTGTCTTTTTCGTATCACTTATATGGTTTTGCGTTTTGGTGAAATTATATATATTTGTTGGGTTACTGTGCCTTAAGATGCTTGTGATTTCTTGGTTCCAACGCCAAGAAACAAAGAATCTTTTCAAAAGAAGGATGGTTCGCTGTTCTAATCGACGCCGGCCATTTTTATCAGACTGTATTTGTGGTTTTGGTGATGTGCGAAGTGCCTTTGTGGCCAGTACCAGGGTGGACGCGTAGGTGTGTGAGGAATATTATCACAGGGGCTAACTCGGGGTGTTCCAGGTCCTCTTGTTTGGTAGAAATGGTCATTGCAAATGAGTAGAAGCAACGTGGTTGGTGGGTCAGGCTCGGCGTGGAGTGCTGGTATACGGAAATGTCATGTAAGTGATCACTGGGGGAGATGCGCACGCGGACCCAGGTTTCACAACTACCACGCTGAACTCTCCGTCCATTATGCCCCCCATTGAGACCACTGACGCATCAGGAGCAGACAAGCAGACCCCATCTCCTGTTTTTCGGGTCTAACTTCTGTCTGCTGAAGTCAGCTACCTCCTGAGATCGGAATACTGTCAGCAATGATGGCGGGAGTGGTTCGAGCATTGGTGACGGTTGTGTGGCAACGTACACCGAGGCGTCCAGTCAGGACTATTCGGACCCTCCATGTGCGGAAGAAGGGCGGATGGGTGTGATGGGCTTGGTCGACGCGTTTAGATGCTATATTACTTACTAACGACGGTGATTATGGCACTGCGGGGGCTGCAGCTGTGTACGCAAGACAACTGTGACGGGGAAGGACAGGTGTGAGGGGGTTGGGCACTGGATGTGTTGTCTTGCCTTCGTGTCCTTTCTTCCCGGGGCTTCCGTATGCGGTTGGTAACGTCGTATGTCGCTCCAGTTTTTGCCGAAGGTCGCCATTTTTGCTGATCTACGACGTCGGTCTCCCAGGAATTTTGGTTGTGTTCAAGACACTTTAATGAGGTCTTGGAGGCGTGGCTATAGCGTAACTTCTGCCTTCCTTGTAGGTGGACATTTGTAGCATCCATGTCATAAGAGGGACGTTTCAACAGGTGGCCATCAGCAGTCCGGACGACTTATTAAGTCTGCCCAACATTGGTTTGTTCTAGCGTTGAGACGATATCAAACATGGCAGTCTACTCTGGGCTCTGGGAGTCGGAGATCCGTTAAGGATCACTTCGCATCCAGCATTCTACGACTGCCACGAATACAGTTGGATTTCCTCACATGGTTCTGGTACACTTTCGAGTTCTATGCCCCGTAAAGATGTAAGCACATGGGGGAAGGACGACTGTACCAAAAACTGCAGCATGGACGTGCATTTTTTTCCACCTCACCTACGCGAAAACTCTAAATGCCTGGCATTCTTTTAATACTCGACGCAATTCCAGTTTAGGCAATGCATGTAAGTATGTGCAGTCGCCTCCCGGTATTCCCTGGGTTAGAGACCATGGTTGTCCACGAATAGCCGAAATCGGCGAATACTTGAGACGTCTTTAAAAACGCCAATACCTGCGCTTTTAAAGATTTAAACACCAAATATGCCGTACGTTATCACCATAAAACACTTTAATACCATTTCAGGGTCATCCTACAGCATTGCCTTTTAAAATATATGGCTTCCGGCTACCGGTGAACACCTCTACAACCATCTCTTTTGCAAGGCGAAAAATAACTAAGCTACCTCTATATTCCAGTATGCACATTTTCTTGCATACAGTATTCAAGCCATATTGTTTTTTACGTATACGGTAGATGAGATTAACATTGGTATACCCCCAAGTTCAGGGAATATTTTAAAATGCATCTACGTATTTAAATTTGCATTACAAATATAAAAGATAACGAGAAGTCTAAGACTGCATGAAGTCTATGGGTACTCGCCGGAGACTGAAGATGACATTGGGGGTGGGCGAATGTTTTTAAGAAAAAATACCTTTTGCTTAACATTTCGCTGTGTTTACAATAATATTAGCATTCTAAAATTAGCAAATCATATTTTCGTTACAAAAACGTACTTAATCACACGGACGAAATAAAAATAATTAACGAATATTTTAAATATGCTCCACGAAGTCATCCGAGGATAGGTGAATCCGCGAAAACTGGACCGCAAATTGGCGGGATCGGCTGTATATATGAAAACCAGACGTCTTAACACTGAGAGTTAAGGTCAGGTGCTTTTGTTGTTTTCTCAATTAACTTATTTGACCTCAAGATCATATCCATATTGAGAAAGAGGAGATTCTTCCGGAAGAAGCCGAGTTAAGTTCATGAACTTTCAAGTTGTTGACAGTAACCTGTCGGCAGACGAAAGAAATGAGCGTGAGAAGTTTGACCACGTAAACTAAAATTGATTTCTACGTAATGAACCTTCTGATCGTTGCCTAGAAAACGACTTTGTGTTTCAGAGTTAGAAACTGTATTTGGCGGGTATCCAACAAGGACGTCATCATCTTCTAGGCAGATTTTTAGATTATTGGTGAATTGCTCGTGTGCTCGGGTTCCATTCTGACACAGCCTTACATAGACTTTTTATCGTCTGATTATATTCCCCGAATGCAAAACTACCTTCCGGGAAACATGAACCACTATTTGAAACTGAGTCTTGGACTCATTTTCACAGGGAGATAATGGGAGATTGGAGGCAGGCGTAGGTCAGTTCGGAACTCGGTTTCTAGCTCGCGCACACTTGCCGCTTTGCTGTCTCAATGGGGGACTGCCAGCATATTTTTTGCAATTTCCATTCCATTAGGCACCCGTGCAGCCTCATCCTTGAGAGCCTTTGTTTTAATCGTTCTTTGCATGGGAACTTCGAAGTTGACTTCTCTGTTTTGTTGATTCAAAAGTACAAGACGCCCAGGTGACCTTTCCATTTTATGCGTCGACTTGGGTAGGAAAACTGGATGCCTGAGTTCTCGTGGTCAGTAACTGGCTGCAGGACCGCGGGGGCAGGTCCCTTCCTGGTTGGGTCTCTATGGCACTCCTGCTCAGACGGGATCCGAACCGCTGATTTGTTTCTGCAAGTAACCTCGCCCAACGTGCACCGACGAGGTCGTGCCTGTCAGGGATGGACGGGCTGTTTAGCTGCTGCCCCCGATCCCACTTCCAGCCGTCTTGATATTGTTTTGATACCGGGGGGGGGGGGGGCAGAGAAAGTGCGATAGATGTTGCGCCCCAGTCTGCCTCACTATAAATTAATGCACATGCAAGTCACCAGTGCTACGCCCGATTCGTGTGGCACACGGGATGGAGGTCGGCACTCGCACGCCGGCCAAACTGCCATCCACCAGTGTATGAAGGAATCCACTTGCGGAAGACCAGAGCTATTTTCCAGGGTCCGCTGACAATTCCTCCTTGGTCGTTTCTTTTAGCAAATATCCGAATTTTTGCAAAGGACAATCATAGACGTGACAAATCCCCCTTCGTGGGTCGACAGCAGTTTTCTTTTTGCCCAAGTCTCCTCCATCCTGGTCATTTCTGCCGCCGTGGGTGCCTTTCTCAGCGGTTGGCTGGCCGACGCCATTGGCAGGTAAGTTCTAAAAAGCCAAGAGCGCATCTTCTATAATTCCGTTTCATTGTACATCAGGTTTGCTATCTTTTCGATCGGAAAAGATTAATTAATTAAAGGTCTGATATTAATTAGCCTGCAGCGTAATCCAAGTATACTTCAGTCACGTCAGAATGCCGGTTTTAATGCGTTTCTTTCAGGCCGTCTGTAAAAATTACAGCGTAAAAAATGACTACTAAGGTAGTGTGACGTCAGACGATTAAGGGTTGATGGCATCTCATGGTTTCCTCACCCTCTTTCAAAACTCTGAAATTCTTTCTTTTTCCGGTGTCACACCAGACGGAACACTTTGATAGCAAACAACGGCCTCGCCATCCTCGGAGCTATTCTCAGCTCCCTCTGCCTGGTAGCCGACCATTCTGCTCTCCTCTATGTCGGCCGAGTATTTTCTGGTCTGAACAGTGGTATTAGTATTGGCGTAGCCTCCATATATCTGATGGAAATAGCCCCAAGGAAAAATCGCGGCTGCATCGGTGCCTGCCACCAGTTGGCTGTCACTCTGGGCATCATGATTGCCTACCTGGTGACGCTGTCGGCGCTTCTGAGCACGAAAACCAAGTGGCCAATCGCCATTGGCCTGGGTGCCATCCCTGCTTTCATCTCCCTCGTGGTGTTCCCCTTCTTTCCGGAGAGCGCCCGCTTCCTCTACCTCATCAAGGGCAAAGAGGAGGAGGCGAGGAAGGCCTTTCAACGTATCAACAGCGGAGAGGACGTTGATATGTTCCTTGCTGAGATGCGCGAGGAGAGAGATGTGACCCTGAGTCAGCCAAAATTCAGATTTATCCAGCTCTTCAAGCAGCGCGATCTGCGCATGCCCGTCCTTATAGCTGTCTTGGTCCAAGTCCTACAACAGCTCTCAGGCATCAATGCAGTAAGTTGATTCAGCTTAATTTCCATGCATAACTGCTGGTTTTTCTGAAGTTGCGGTAGTATTCTTGAGAATCGTGGCAGTTCCCTCTGAACACGATAGAGTCCATTGAGGTTCTAAATGAGCACATAGAAACCTTTAAGGAAAATAGCCCTTTTACGATGTGTTCATGTTGGGACCCATTAGCTGGGTGTGCAAAAGATATTTCACTGCAGCAACTCAAAGAGAAGATCGTGACTTCTGCGCCGACTGATTAGCGTTGCCTCTGGCGTAAAAAATGAAGGTATTTAGGTCCCGTTGACTGTCTAGACCAAGGCGTTGTTCACTCTATAAGTCTTTGATACGTTTTATGGAGAGCATTGCTGTTGGGGGTATATGACTGACCTCGACTGGGATACACCATAATAGCATCCTCTCAAGCACTCCCCGACCAAAATATGAATGTTTCAGAGTTGAATGGACAAATAAAACAAGAGCGTTGATTGCGGTCAAACAGCACTTGTACCCGGGTTTTTTTATTTCTGTACATCTCCACCCACTGTACCCAGACACCTTTCATTTGATTCGTCTAGGTCATCGCCAATTCGTCAATTATGCTGAAAGCGGCTGGCGTGGGAGTGGCCCAGATAGAATTCTGCGTCCTTGGCATCGGCATACTTAACGTCGTGTGCACGATTGTGGCTATGCTTTTCCTCGAAAAAGCCGGACGAAGACCCATGCTCCTGTGGCCCACCGTCTGCATGGCTGGAACTCTCCTCCTCTTAACCATCATTGTCTGCGTTGGTAATTCAAAACCCCCGGCTGAGCAGAGCTCCTATGCTGCCACCTCGGTGTTTCTCATCTACGCTTTCGTGGCTTGTTTCGCCGTTGGTTTGGGTCCGATACCCGCTATGATTGTGTCTGAGATCTTCCGCCAGGGTCCCCGCGGAGCTGCGTACTCCCTCAGCCAGAGCATTCAGTGGCTGTGCAATCTCATCGTCCTCTTCAGCTTCCCCACTTTGAACGTAGGTTCTCTTGACCAGTTACTAAAATTAATCTCTGACTTGGTTTGCAGGATTTTAATGCCATTTTTCTGTTGCCTCGAAGGTACGCACCAACTTCTCGGTTAAATAGTACAGTCCGGTATATTTTAGGGTATTTAAACAAGGTATATGATGACCTTAGCACAGCAGAGCCAGAAGAGATGACGCACGACAAATAATAATAATAATAATAATAATAATAATAATAATAATAATAATAATAATAATAATAATAATAATAATCTGTTACTGACATCATTTTAGTAGCATGTGAATCACTTTGTAGACCGAACAAATGACTGCCATAAGAGATAATTCATTGCGTAGATGTTTATGTAATTAACTGCGAATCTCATTAATTTCCAATCTTCCTTACTGTCTTTTTGTTTTATTACCGTACAGAAACTGATGAAGGGCTACGTCTATCTGCCGTTTTTGGTGATCGTGGCAGTATGCTGGGTATTCTTCTTCCTCTTCATGCCCGAGACCAAAAACAGGTCGTTCGATGAGATTGCCCGCGATCTGGCCTTCGGAACCATTGTTGTTGGGAAGCGAAGTGCAGCCATCCAGACTCCGGTATTCACCAAGGGCGAAAACCTGTCACCTGACGGTGGAAGCCTTCTTCGCGACTCTCATGCTCTAAAGTCCAAAGAGTGACCGAGAGAGTTGGCTTGACACATTTTGCCCACCAATCACGTCCCATTCCGCTCATTCTTTCCCCCCGCCCTCCTAAAACCCCAATGCTGCCTCAAAATCTTTCTTTCTGTAATATTTGCACATTTTACCTCACACCCCTTTCCCCATCCAGTGTCACGAGGTCAATTTTGAAACTGGTTTTTCAGTTTTATGTGTCCTTTTATGTGTATAAATCAACCAACAGATTTTACGTTCCTGAAAAAGAAAAAGAGACAGGGAACAGACTGTTTCTTTGTTCGAAACTATCCGGGCAACCGCATCCGAAGACAGCAGCAGTGGTTGGCGCACGATCTAGATTATACAGGAGGAGACTTACGCACCAATATGCCTCGCCTAATCTTTCAACACTCATCATTTTTCGACGGCAGGGCTTCGTAACCTAAGACCAGGTTATCCCTCCAGGTAACGATCTACCAAACCTGGACTCTTAGAGTGCCCTGATGACTCACAATATCGGCAGGTTTTTTTATAATGAGGAAAGGTCGCACGCCGCTGACCTCACTCTCTATTTCCGCTCTCTTGTTTACTCCTGAAGTTAAGTAGATCTGGCATCTTCGCCATCTTCACCTGCCATATAACGACCGATTCTTGACAAACATCAGAACTACGCCTTGTGCGCAAGTTCCGCGGTGTTGGAAGTGCACTTTGTTCAATCTTGCCTAACCCTTTTCGCCAGTCGAAGCAGTTGTCGCAGCTTGGCTGCTGCGTCGATGCCAACTTTGCGGGGCTACTAGTAAGAGTTAGGCATCAAGTTGAGTCGGAAAGTAAAGAGCACCTCATGTAGATAGGCATTTGACGCGACTCTCACTCCATTCGGATGACTACAGTTCCCTGAACGTCTCATACCCCCTGACCAAAGAAATGCTGAGGACCGGCCGGATCAGAATACTTGCCCTCCCTCTCCTTACTGACAAGAAATGTTAATTAGAGGCCGTTTACGTTCCATCCTTTGTCGTGTGAAACTAATGGGTTGTTCAGCCCATTTGGCGCTGAATATCACGAAGATCATCTAGGATTCAAGCAACTTTCGGCGCAATCCGCCCGCAGGTCATCTTCTGTTGCGACTCGGGTCTGTGCCCGTCAGCGGTAACCCCTGAATTTCTAACTTTCGTTTTTTTCTTTGCAACAAAATTGTAGTTTTGTGCCTGGCTGACTGGAGTTCAGGGACTCGACAGAAAACAGCTGTCGCCGTGACGATTAACAGAGCGCTTGGACATGAGAGATGGAATCCACCGGATTAATCGATACCCTCATATAATGAACACTGAGGTTGATACATTTGACAGCAGTTCATACTGCGTCTCAAGTTCCGTGATCCGGCCACCACATATGGCTTGTAGGAAATAGCCGGCAACTCCATTCAACTGGTTGCCGAAGGCAGAGCTAGCTTACAGTAGGTCTAGAACCACGCAGAAAACACTGACGGAATCAGAAGTAGAGAAGTTCACTTACATTCATATTCGTGTATTCATCATCAGCTGTTCCACAAGACGTGCGTATTTGCTGGCACAAGCTAAACCTACGCTGACCAAGAGGTCGTGTGCTGGCGGCGTATTCATACAGAATAAAGTCCTCATTTTCCTGCCTTTCCCCCTTTACTGCTGTCCTACGTTTGACAGTCAAAGACACCGGAAAGGAGGAATCTAAGTTTTGTGAACAACCGACGAAAAGCTCCCAACCATTCTATTGTCCAGGGTTATGGATTACAGGTCAAACGTCAGCAGTGAACTCGTGGTTCAATGCTGTGTGTTTAAAGGTGAAGAATAATTTCCGATACAGACAGAACATATAGTACCACTCACGGCGCCCTTGGAGACTTCCGTGTTTTAGGGTGGCAATGCGACCCCTCATCGAGCTGGTACTGTTGAAGTCGCTTCAAATACCAGTGGAATAAGAAGCCTTGAGGGTCCGGCACAATCGCCACAGTTGGATCGAAATGAGCGCTTAGGGGACCGTTTAGGACGAAAAATAAATCGGCCAGAATCCCTGTCCCGTTTGAAATGCCTGAAAGGGGATTGACTCTGAGTACGTATCAGAATGCTCATTACATCTGAGAAGTGAGGATTGCATGCAGTGAAAATATGAATTACTAGCGTGAAATGTATTAAGACGCAATTTCTGTGATAAATCTGGCGGTTGTCATCGTCTCGTTTTTCCTTGGAGCTTCGCTTTCCAGGTGAGAAACAGCTGTTCCACTAGGCGTTTATATTTGATGGCATAAGCTAAACCTACGCTGACCAAGAGGTTGTGTCCTGGCGGCGCGGGAATACAGAATAAAGTCCTCATTCGGCAGCCTTTCGTCTTTTACTGCTGTGCTAGACTTTACTCTGGCTGTGGTAATGAAGAAATAAACGTCAAGTGGTCCATTTGACTTTGGAAGAGCTTTCGACGGTGAGTGTGACTGAGGAACTTTTAAAAGGACCCCCCGCGTGTATACATTTCTAACGCCAAGTTCGGCTGGGCACCTGTGCCCAGCGGGGCTCAGCTGTGTCCTGCTTGTCCGCGAAGGAGCTCTTCATTCCGACGCGGCCTGTGCATTCTCGAAGATCCTAGACATTGCGACTCATAGAGTCACCTCTTTCCTCAGTCGTCTCCTTCAGTATCTGTTGCACTGGGTTGGACATACAAGAAGCACAGTTTGGTACGCTGACAGTATAGACCGCGCAAAGCCTACTTTCCTCACAGAAGAAGGACTAGATTTCTTTATCGTTACCGTCAACCTAGTTCTGACATTGTCGGCGCGCAAACCCATGAAGTCCCAAAAAGAATTTCCCTAGTTTTGGCCCATATTTCACCAGCATGTGGTCTCATCCTCCTTCCCTGTGACTCCATTCGCGGTGTATCGCTGCCCACTTTGTCGCCCAGGTCGAATCTGCCTCCAGCTATACAAGATATAACAGTAGTTAGCTTATAGAAGGGAATAGAAAGGTCCCAGGAAACAGTCGTGAAGAAGGAGACACGATCGCTGGAACTAGAGCTTCATTCACCTCTACCAGATAATGGAACCGAAAGACCGATTGCCACGACAAGAAAACGTCTGGAGTCGTTTGTCGGATCTGGCGCAGGTGCGGACAAAGCAACTACGACGGAGAAACCGGAAGACAGCCCCGAACGCGAATGGCCGAGCACACGACAGCAGTGTGGTGAAATGACGCCAGCTCATAAGTTGCTGCTCATTCGACGAGATCCGGCCACACATTCAAATTTGACGAGACCGAAATTCTTGCAAGAGGTGACAACCGCGTGAGCAGGGAGCTGCTTGAGTCTTGGTTTACTGGCCCCCAGTCCATTATCAAGTGCAATGGCCTTCCCCTTCCATATTCGGTGCTGAGACTGCTCCTAGGTGGGGAGCACACATGTGAAAACTATTCCAACGCCAAGATCGGCGGACCAGACGGTTGAGCAATCATCGCACCAACATTCAACGCACATGATGAGGTTGCAGCAATTAACGACACAAGTTCCGGCCATCAAACAGTCATTACACCACGTGCAACGATCCCTGATGAAGGGGGATTCGTGAATATTCATAGGTATGTGGTAGCATGGCGACTGCATTCTATAAATACTGCAGCCCCTAGCGCATGAACTTCCCGTACCTGATGTTTTCTCTGATGCTGGGTTCGAGCAGAAATCCAAAGTGTCGGTAGACTAAGGCTCTTGTTCCGCAGATCATGCCTCCTTCTGCATAGTAGTTAACTCACATGGTAGCACCTTAACTTGAGATCACCCTTTGCAGAGCTGTAATTGCAGTTTCCTCCCGACACTTCAGGGCAACGGTTTGTTGAACATTCTGAAGTGCGCCTTGGGTTTTGTCACCGACTTGACGAAAAACTAACCCGTCAGGCTTAAGTAAAGCGGACGGGGACACAGTCACCTCTGTTCTCCCCAGGCGGCAGTTGGTCTTGGTCAGATGGAGACCATGTTCTGTCCACCAAACAGTCTCCGTTGCAGTTGTCTAATCCACAGCAAACTGATGCTCCCCTCCAGATTTCGTGCTCTGTTGTGTTACATACACTAGTCTCACTGATCTTACTGGATGAGGTCCCTTTCGGTCCAGATTCGAGACGGAAGTGTAGATCTTCCCAGAACTTGTCCTTAACTCATGAAATGTCAACCGAAATTTCTAACTGCGTTCTCGTTTCAAAAAGATTAATTAAGTAGGGTTTTAAGACTTATCATCATGCAGCGTAATTCTATAATGATCCAGTTACCTGAGGGTGTCAGCTTTCAACGGAACGACTTTACGGTCGCATGCATAAACTATACTTTGTAAAAAATGACTACTTGATTAGCATGCATTTTTCCCATTGATTGTCTATGCCCTTCAAAACTCAATTATATTTTACGGAAGACACGCATAAAAATATTCATTCTCTTGTCCATTTAGTAGAAAAATACGTCTTCTTAAAATTTTACACTCAAAGAAAGCGCTTAGTTTGGGTTTCAGAAACTTTTTCAATTCTTGAATAATTTTGGACCTCACCTGCCGTTACACTTGCATTCAGGGTTTCCAAACTACAAGCCGTATATTTTTCGCGTACGGAAAACCATGAATTTCTATAAGGTGCTAAGAGAGTCTATATGGGGTTCATAAAATTTAGCAGCGGATTTGTGGCATATTGTTAACTTTACAAGCCACATTGGTAAATGCAGATACATGACGTTTTATGAACGGCCATTCCACGGTATTAAAAAATCTCACAATTAAGAACTTTTTGGAAACCGAAGTACACCCCTATTTCGAGTAGAAAATTGAAAGAAGACGTAATTTTCTACCAAATAATATTTTTGTGCATGGCATCCGCATAATATGCTTGAATCAATGAGGGCGGCAAAATTCAGTGGGAAATATTCATACTACCTAAGTAGTCATTTTGGCAGAGTGTGCTTTTACTGACGACCGATCGCAAGCTGATTTAAATACCAGCATTCTGGTGTGACTACCTTGTCTTTAGATC